AATCACCCATGTCAAGAAGTGGAACATTGTCAGCCTCCTCAACAATTCCCTTCAGTTTCTTCTAGACTAAAGCTCTTATCTTTCTCGTGGACGAAAACATTACCTTAATATTTATGGAATTTGTATTTTTACTCGTCTTTAATAGTTTCAAAGTCTATGTACACATCGCTAATATATACATCTGTTCTCAAATTTTATATAGATGAAATAGTGCTGTAACATTATATGATATATATTATATATTTATATAGATAGGTATAAATAGATATATTTATATAGATGAAATATCCTTAGTGTACCTTTGTGTCTTTTTACTTTATGTGATTATTATTTTTTCTTTTCATCTCATTTTGTGGCATTGGTGTATTATTCCATTGAATGGATATACCATAAATTTTTATCTATTCAACTGTTGATGAACATTGCCGTTATTTCCATTTTTGACTATTACAAAAACCACATGGCTATCAACATTACCACACATGAAATCTGGTTCACGTGTGCGAGTTTCTCCAGAATATATTCCCAGGAATAAAACTGCTGAGTATGGGACAATGCATGTCTTCAATTTCACTGTGAGTTGCTAGACTCTTCTCTATTGTGGTGGTTCCAATTTTCCTTCCCACCAGTGATTCCTGATCCTCTGCATTCTTTCCAAGTGGTAGGATTTCAGACGTTTTTTTGTTTTTGCCAATGTCATTTTATTTTATTCATGGTTTATTATGGTTTTAATTTTCGTGTTCAGTTTGAGCAATTTTTCATTAGTTTATTGATCACTTGGATTTCCTTTCTGGTAAAATAACTGTTCAAGTCCTCTACCCATTGACTTTTTTTTTTTTTCTTTTTAACAGCTTTGTCAAGTTTTGAAAAACAAGATTACTTCTGGCGCCGGCCCGGTGGCGCAGCAGTTAAGTTCGCATGTTCTGCTAATCGGTGGTCGGGGTTCGCCGGTTGGGATCCCGGGTGCGGACATGGCACCACTTGGCACGCCATGCTGTGGCAGGCGTCCCACATATAAAGTAGAGGAAGATGAGCATGGATGTTAGCTCAGGGCCAGTCTTCCTTAGCAAAAGGAGGAGGATTGACAGCAGTTAGCTTAGGGCTAATCTTCCTCAAAAAAAAAAACAAGATTATTTCTCCTTGTACGTTTTGTAGAAGTAGCTGGTGAAGCCAACTAACTCCACAAACAGAGGCTGAAGTTTTCTATGTTTATTTTGGTCATAGGACTCAAGATCTGTAAAATCTCATTGAGTCAGTCTTGCTGTACTTTTTTGTTGTACAAAAATTTTGTTGGAATTTGTTGTGCAAATTCCAGGAATTTGTCCATTTTATCAATATTTTCAAAGGTATTGGCAAACAGTTGTTTAAAGTATTTGGTGAAAATCTTTTTCTTTTCTTTTTGAGGAAGATCAGCCCTGAACTAACATCTGCCACCAATCCTCCTCTGTTTGCTGAGGAAGCCTGGCCCTGAGCTAACATCCGTGCCCATCTTCCTCTAGTTTATATGTGGGATGCCTACCACAGCATGGCTTGCCAAGTGGTGCCACGTCGGCACCTGCGATCCCAACGGGCGAACCCCGGGCCACCGAAACGGAGCATGCGAATTTAACCGCTGTGCCAGCAGGGCGGCCCCAGTTAAAATCTTTGTGATGTTTGCAAGATTTCTAGTGGTATCCCTTTTTCATTCCTTATCTTGGTTATTTGTGCCTTCTCTCTTTTTTAATATTTTGATCAGTTTTGCCAGAATGTGATCAATATTATTTATCTTGTCAAAAAACCATTGACTTTGAACTGGAACCTTTAATTCATTTCTGTATAATAAAATTACTTATATGTTTGAGTTAAAAACTAACACTCAACTTGATCCCTTTTTTTTGTCTTTCTTCCTCTCCCTGACCTTACCGTCTTTTGATTTGGTTAATTATTATAATTTAATATTTTGCTGTCAAGTAAGCTAGAAGTTTTCATCTCAATTTTGCTTCTATAATTTTGGCAGTTAACTTAGTAATTAAAACATACTTTCTTAACTTATCAAAGTTTAATGCTAATTTATCAGTTAGGGTTCAACCAGAGAAACAGAATCAGTAAAAGTTTATCTATCTATCTACCTATCTGCCTACCTACCTATCTATCTAAAGAGAGATCTGTCATGAGACAGGAAATTGCCTACTGTAATTGTGGGCACTGGATAAAAGTTCAAAATCCACAGGGCAGGCAGTCAGAAAAGGAGGAACATAGGCTGGAAGTGACAGGCAAGGAAGCTGCTGTCCACAGTAGAGTTTCTTCTCTTTTGGAGCAACCTCAGTCCTGTTTTACAACCATTCAAGTGATTTAATCAGGCTCACACAGATTATCCTGGATAATCTCCTTGTTTAAAATTAATTGATTAGGATTGTATCTGGCCACATACCTTCCCAGGAATACCTAGATTAGTGTTTGATTAAATGACTGGAGGGTTGCCTAGCCAAGTTGATGTATCATGAAAGCCATCACAGCTGGTTAATTCCTTTCCATTCTTCTAGATGTTGTGAGCCTTAAAGTTATAAGACTTTAATTTTATTTTTCCTTCTCTCATTTAACTCACTGTTGCCATTTATTTTGTCTATATGTATATGTGTGTTCGTATGTATGTATTTAAAACTATGTAGGACTATATTTTGGTTTTTTATAGTCAGTCTTCATTTCGATTTATTTGTATTTGTACTGTTTTCTTTGGTCTTTGTTTCTTTCATTGCAAACCTTGTATCTGGGATCATTTTCCTTTTCCTGAAGTACATCCTTTATTTTCCCTTAATGTGAATCTATAATGGCAAATTCTCTCAAATTTTATTAATCGAAGTCTTTAATCTTGAAAATTATTTCTTTATATAGAATTCTAGGTAGATACTTATTGCCTTGTGCAAATTGAAGTGAATGGCTAGCATCTTCTGGTTTCTGTTATTACTATTGAAAAGTCAGTTGTAAATCTAATCATTCTGATCCCTGATCTAATATAACTTCACTAGAAACAGGAAGTCTGTACTACCTTTCCCCCTTACTCTTATGTTATTATTTACCCACAGTTTTAAATATTCCCCAAAACGCGATTTTTAAAAGCCTGATAATATTTCCTGAGGTGAATGTACCACAATTTAACATCCATGTTTTTTAACATTCTAATGGTTTCCCATTTTATCCACTATAAAAATGTTGGAATAAATATCCTATACATAAATATCTCACCAAATCTTTAATTATTGCTTTAGGATACTTTTTTTAGATTGAAGTTATTTTTTAATTTGTATGAGCTCTTTTAAGATTCTTTATCTATATATCACCAAATTGCTTTCTGTTAAGATTATAGTCACTTATACTTCTAGTTTTATTTACTAATAATATTTATATCACTTCATTTCCTACAAAATTGATTGTCATCTCCTTTACATTGCTGTCATTGAAATTCACCAAAAAATATCATTCACATTTAATTTTCATGTCTTTGATTATTAGTAATGGCTACGTTATTGGTCCTTCTTAAGAAAATGATCTATCATATTCTGATATTTTCCCTTTGGTGGTGTTAATGCTTTTATTATTGCAAGCAGTGCTTTTGTGTTGAAAATGATTATGCAGTTAATTTTCCTTTAAGTTTTGCATAGATTATATTTTCATAAATCGAATTTTTAATTTTAAAATATTTTATTGTGTGTATCCTCTTTTTATAATTTGCTTTATTCACTAAACTTCATGTTTTTGTTATTTACTCATAGTTTTCTGAAAAGATTAATAAATATGATTGCAGATGGATGGCACTAATAAATAATAGTGGGTTACAAAAATGACATAGTATCTGATCTAGCAGGCAATTAAAGAAGTTATGGAAGAAAGAAGTAGATATGAATATCTTTATCCTTTTACCCATTTTATCTATCTTTTTAATAACATATTTAGGATAGCTATTTTAAAGACTTTAACACTAATTCCAATGTCTAGATCTGAGAGTCTGCTTCTCCCAGCCATTTTATTTTGGCTTCATTTTTGGTCACTTTTTTTCTGCTTCTTTGTATGTCTTTTATCTTCTTCTTCTTCTTCTCCCCAAAGCCCCCCAGTATGTAGTTGTATATTCTAGCTGAAGGTCCCTCTATTTGTGCTATGTGGGACATCACCTCAGCTTGGCTTGATGAGCAGTGCCATGTCCACACCAGGATCCACACCGGCAAAACTGGGCTGCCGAAGCAGAGCGTGCAAACTTAACCACTTGGCCGTGGAGCCGGCACTCCTTGTGTGTCTTTTAATTTTTATCCAAAGCCATGCATTTTATGTGAAATAAATGTAATGATAAAGTTTATATTATTTACCCCCACTGACAAGAGTGTTTACTCTTTGGTGATTCAATCAGGAATCGAACTCAGACGGGCTCCAGTTGCATTTTTACTTTGAGTCCGTCCAGTTCTGGATTTGAAAGTCTCAAGGTAGAGAACTTCTTGAGTTTTTATCAAGAACTTAGTTGGTCTCTTCTTCCATCCTGAAAGACTATGATAGATTTATCTTGCTTCTCCGGTGTTTTGACCTCTGCTCTAAATCTCACCCCGAGTGACTTCCAAATATGGCAGGTGTCTTAATGAGGACACCAGTTCTGTATTTGAAGCAGGCCCCTTTCCTTACTGACTTTTTCCGCGAGACTATAGGAAATTCCACTCCACTCTTTGTCTCTTTTATTCATTGGCTTTTTCTTCAGAACTTAGAATAGTGCTCCATAAATATTTTCCAAATTAATGAATGAATAGTAGAATGCAGTGCAGCAGTTAAGGATAATCTAGTAAAGTATTATTTCTCTGCAAAGCTATTCTTACAAGTTTATGTAGATTCAATTTCTGTAAGGTAAAATGCCTATTTTATATAAAGTAAGGCACACACTTGGCTGGACTTGTAACCATATAAGTATTTTTTAAAACAAAAATAACTTCAACGTAGTATATGTTTAAATAGTTACTTTAAGCACTTATTTTTATTGCTTGCAGATTGTAAAGAACCTCCTCCAAGAAAACAAATAGAAATTCTATCAGGTTCCTGGCCTGAACAAACATATAAAGAGGGCACTCAAGCTACATATAAATGCCGCCCTGGATATAGAACTCTTGGAACTATTACAATGCAATGCAGGAATGGACAATGGGTGGCTCTTAATCCATCGAGGATATGTCGGAGTAAGTATTTCATACATCTGTAAAATTTATGAAAACTTTTAATTTTGAAAATACTGAATGTTTGCAATTGTACCAATACTGACTGAATTATATCACTATTGTCATTTAAATCCCAAACAATACACCATCATTATTCTTAAAAAAAGGGTTGTAATCTTCCAAAATTCAAAAAGCAAGCATGCAGTTAAATTCAATTATAAAATAATAACTTTGCCAGTTTTCACTTGTCCATATCTTCAATTCTGCCCTCTGATATAATATCGAATATCTTTGTTCCTGAGCACGTACATGAGATGTGTTTGCTGGTGTGGTGTACTACTATTCTCTCTTTTCTTTTTTATTTTAGAAAGGCCCTGTGGACATCCTGGGGATACTCCTTTTGGTTCTTTCCATCTCGCGGTAGGAGATGAATTTACATATGGCGCAAAGGTTGTTTATACATGTGTTGAGGGGTAAGTCATCAATATAAAAAGAGGTTTATAACCGAGATCATTTATAATTGATATAGTAAATAGGAACTGGACTAATTTATAATTTTTAAAGTTACTATATCTCTCTACGAGCGTCTTTACAAGTAGCACACAACCAACTTGAAAAATTAAACTCTAATGGAAATTATCATATTTGGATAACATATTATCTCCTCAACACTGAAAAGTTAAAATGGTTTACAATTACTCTGACAGAGTGTATTTATAATAGAGTTGGAAAATAGTGTGGTGGTAAATAAGGGTTCAGGTCTAGTCCTCACTACACTCTGTTATGTGCAGAGTATTATGGGAGTTCAATGCGTCAGGCATGGTGCGAATGGTAACCAAATTACATTCCATGATACCTACTTTGATAAAATCTTATAAAATTTAGGAGAAGCAAAACTTTTACACTGAAATAATAACTACCATACTTTAAGGTTCCATGGTCTGCAAATTATTATTCTTATCATATGGACCAAAAATGCTACTAGGTTCATAAACATTAGCTCTGTGTGTCTAACCACCCACTGGGATCGCATGGCTAATCTTAACACTGTGTTACCTCCTCAGTGTTCTTTCTTCCTTGTAATTCCAAGCCAGGTCAAAAAGTCATTTTTAAGAAAGTTTCATATGTGGGAAACCCAGTATCCTTACAATTTTATACTATGCAAATATAAATGAGATCAAGAGATTACAAATGGGGTCTTATTATTCTCTTCTCATTCATTTCTTGATTTGAGGCAATAAAATATAATATTTTAAAGTTTAGGCTTTGAAGCCTGCATTCCAAAATCCCACCCTTCAATAACTGTATGCATTTTGTAAAATCTCTCTTTACTCCCATTTCCTCAGGTCCATCATAGGATTGGCAGGAGAAATAAATAAGACACACACTTGAAGGCCTTAGAAGAGCTCCTGGGATATTGTAGACACTCAATAAGTATTAGTTCTTATTATTTATTCTCTCCTTGGTCACTACTTGAGGAAGATTTTTCAAGGACATTTTTAGCCCAACCTTCAATCATTACTGCTGACTTTATTACACATGGCCAAATAGATTAAGACCATCAGACATGAACTTGCCAATTTGCTTCACTGTTCACCTCTGAAATATCCCTTTCAATCCGGGCTAGTCTGGCTTTTTCAGATTCCACTCTTGACTTGGCAAAAGGGATCAGATTCATAAACTTCTTCCACTAGATTCCCTAAATCTCAGTTATAAGTAATACTTTTAATTTGGTAAAGAAGTTAGTGACATACTTGCCTCTGACTCTTGCTCTGGTTAACTCAGCTTTGCCTCCTGCATCTTGTGTACATTATCAGTAAACGCTCTTGTAGACTTGCTATAAAAGCGACTGTTTCCATCACTCAACTTGGGCCCCCAATGGGACTAGATATTTGTCAGTAGAGTAAGTCTTTGGACCATGCAAGGTCAGCAAACAGAAGTATTTTATGCTATCTTAAACTTTTATTGAGGGATTGTTTTACATATCAGAGGGGGTGTAAATTTTTTGACCCAGTTGTGGAATCTAATGGTAAAGTGGGTTTGCTACATCCATGTTTCTGCCAATCAACCCATCTTCTTTGATCCCTTGTCCCCATCCATCTTTTCTGTGCTGAATACTTATTTAGCCGAATACTAGCCACTTATCAGGATATTCAATATTCGTATCCAGTTTTATTATCCTACAAGTAAGTAGTTTTAAGGAGGTACTCTGTAAAACATTTTTCTGGTATTTTGCCTGGCCAGGATTGCATTACTTTCCTCCAGCTAGCAACATTTGGACAATCTCTCTCTCTTCTCACTTCCCTCCCATGTATATGGCTCCTAGGAGGTTTTGTGTAGAATTTTGCAGAATTCCTCAAAGAGCTTTGGAAGAATGGATGAGTCTCTGTTGTAGATGGAAAATGTTAACCAGGAAATCTGCTTGCTCTGTTGGAAGTGGGTACCAGTAGAGGAGAGAGATAACCTTTAAAAACCAATTCTTTTGTTCCTTTATATGATAGAGATATAGAGTAAATGTTTGACTTCAAGTTCTGTGACTCCTATTTAATCTGTTGAAATGTTTTCTTTCCAAATCAATAACAATCAAAGAAAGAAAAATTATTTTTTGCTAGGGAGAAAGTTTGTTTGTTTTACTTGTGTAATGGGCTGAAAAATCCTTATTTGCAGATGAAGGAAACATTTGTCTATGTAGAATTATCTAGAAGCTTATGAAAGACCCCTTTTCAAAATTGTCTGTCTTTGTAATGATCAGATTATAGGTTATCAAAATACCTTCTCCTTATTTGTTTCTCTGAGAAAAAGCCTTTTGCCTCCAGGTGTCCACCATAATATCGAGAAGGATGCTTTACCTTGATCTAAAGCCTCTGACAATGACTACCCATTTTCCACCTGCCTCAGAAAACTTTCATTCAAGTAGAACATTTTAGATTTTAAGGATAGGCTAGATGAGTAATCATAATTAGATAAATTTGACATTGACTTGACTGTATGACCACACTCTGGAAAGAATCTCTAGGATGGAGATGGGAAGATGGAGACAAGTGCTGAAAATGAAGCTCTATCCTTCATCTAAGAAATTTTTGCTAGCTCTATCCTTGATTATGGCAAAAGCCCAAAGTATCCACAAAATGTCACAGTCATGGAGGATGGGAGTAGTGAATAAGATTGGAGGAGGGGTAACGTGGTTAGCTGTTGGTTACTATCATATTTTTGGCTTTGTTTCTGGTAGCAGTTCATGGAACTTTGTACAGTGTTAAATGTGACTGATTAGCTGACTCAATGATAAAATAAAAATGTATTGTCACGAAACAGTAATGAGTTTGCTCTGTGAACCAAGGATTAAGATTATTCCAAGTCAGTGTACCTGAGGGTTTGAGGGCCTTTCTTAAGAAAGAAAGAAAAGGAAGAAAATGTAGATGCTGTTAATTTTCCCTGAAATGGAGTTTCTGGGCATTTAGATTGGTATCGAACTTGAAACTGCATATAAACACACATTAGCTCACCATTCTGTTATTTTTGGTTTTCAGGTATCAGCTGATAGGTTCGATTAATTACCGTGAATGTGATGCAGATGGATGGACCAATGATATTCCTCTATGTGAAGGTAGATGTAAAATTCATTGATGAGTATATTAAGATACTTAAAATATCTAAGATGTAAAAAAGTCCTAGATTAAAATATCCTTAAAGTGTATAATTAAATATTTCTTACTCAAATTATTTTTGTGGCTTTTAGTATAAGACTGAGTGGATATCTAGCCTTTTTATTACTACATTATTTTGTTTTGAGTAATCAGAAAAGATGCAGGAAATAAGAGAGAGCTCTGCCCTTTCTTACTGACCAATAAAGCCAACAATTTGAGTGAGAAAATGTAGATCCTGTTTCCAAATTTCCCATTAGAAATCTCAATCTCTAGTCATCATGGAAATAAAAGAGACCAATCAGAGTAGTCTTTCCCAGTTCCGTGGTCGGGAGTAAGTAAACAGGGAGAGATGGTGGGGAGGAAGACAGAAAGAGAGGGGCAGAAAAGGAGGCAGGGAAGGAGGGAGGGAGGGAAGGAGGGAGAGAAAGAAAGAAGAAACAAGGAGGAGGAAGTGATGGGGGAGTGGAGGAGAAATGTGATCACTCAAAAATCATGCTATCTAAAGAAGAGAATGGAAGATCTTTCATCTTTGGAAATGAGAGGAGGAGAATAATGTTCTGGGAACATCTACATTGGAATTACCTGAAGTGTTTGATAAAAACTGGAATTTTTGGTTATTAAAGATTTACTGAATCAATATCTCTGTGGTGATAGGGCAGGGAGATAGCCATAGAATTTCCATTTTAACAAGCATCCTGGATCATCCTACTGTAAAATAAAAGTTTGAATACCATAACCTAAGGGATGTTGGATAATATTAAGTAAAACCAAAAGCAGGACTCAAATTACTTTGAACACTGATGTGGAATAGGAAAGAAAATTAAAGACTATTTCTCTGTCGAAGTAAATATAATCAGGAAGTTTGCTTTTACACCTTGTGGGAATATAGTGTTATATTATTGTGAGACTTAAATGGAATTTTTGTATTGAGTTGTCCCAAGCGTTATATTTCTCAATTATTCAAGAAACGCTTGTTTGTTACTACAAAAACAGAAACAGTCATTCAAAGTCGTAATTTTCTTTGTCCACTTCGTAGAAAAGAATCAGAGTTAAACTTACTATTGTTTTTCACTTAGCAGAATTTATCTCTGGCAAACAGGTATATCCAATGCTTCTTTAAAAAAAAAAAAAACATTTAAGTAATTTCCTCCAAGCTTAACTTGCTGATGATTTTACAGATAAAATGTATGTATATATGCATATTTTTCATGATAAAGTTTTCAAGTTCTATTAGAAAAAGTTATATTTCTCTTTTCAGTTGTTAAGTGTTTACCAGTGACGGAGCCAGAGAATGGGAGACTTATCAGCAGTGCATTGGAACTAGACCAGGAATACACTTTCGGACAAGTGGTACGGTTTGAGTGTAGTTCAGGCCTCATGCTTGATGGGCCTACAGAAATACATTGCTCAGCAGATGGCAATTGGAGTGGAGAAAAACCGAGATGTGTGGGTGAGAAACATTCACTGTTCATTTGATTATTTGAATGAGTTAGTTTTTCTCATGAAAATGTATGTTTCAAAACATTGTGCTTCCTAAAGAATCTGAATAATACTGATAGTCACTGCCATATAGTAGAGTTAAGATTTAAACCCTGGTTATCTGACACCAAAGTCTATGCTCATAACCATAATTAATTGGCATTGGCTTTTTTGGCTAAAATGAAATGCAAAGCATTTTTGCTATAAGTTTTAATATTGGCTTCCAGGATAGGTCTTTTTTTTTTTAATTTGAAAAGCCAAAGGTTCATTATTTATTTCCACGGACTCATCATGTTGACATTCTGATTTTGAATTGTGCTTATAGGAAGTGGCCCTGTTTTATATTTGCTCTGTGAGTGTAGTATAAATATTGCTGAACTGAATTGAATCCAGTAAATAATTGTTGTCTCTTTTAAAAAGTTCTGTAGTAAACTATAAGTCAAGATTTCTTTCACTCTAATACCGCTGACCTATGCATCGTGAACAATCTGATGATTTTGTCTTGTAATGAAACATTACGGTCAATTTATTTAAAAGCACCATACTTTGTTTTACCAACACTTGTAGGTAGAAATTTCTGCCATATTTTTTAACATTATCTAAAATCTCCAAAATATTTATATTTTCTTAGTGTAGTCTATCCTACAATGAGATGCAGAGAAAAGCATTCCTCTTCTTAAGAACTCTTTCTAACATAACTAGTCAAGTCAATGATGATAAACATATTTATATTCAGTGTAGTAAATACTGTATACTCTAGAAATTCATGGATGATGTTTTCTTCTTACAACTAAATTTCTGTGGTTAGTGAATCATGGCTGGAATGGCTAATGCATAAGATAAGTCTTCAAGGGAGATTGAGAATTGATTAGATGAAGTTGAGGAGGGGAAAGCACGCCAGTCAGAGGAAGTTCATGAGAAAAAGGTGCACATGCAGTGAGGCTTCATGCAGCATCCAGCTCCCCTGTTCCCATTGTTCGAGGGGCCCTTGTGTAGGATGCAGGTGGGGGATAAGTCGGTGATGGATGAAGATCGGCTGGTACTAGGTTCTGAGGTGCTCCATATGGCATGCTGAAGAATTTGCCTTGTATCAAACTGACTTGAGAATCAATGAAAATTTTAAGTGGATCAGTGAAGTGACAAGAGAAAAGGTCGTTAAGTTATAAACAGGAAAACAGATTAGAAAGGTGAGGGACTAGGACCTGGGAAATTCATTGTTGTTGCTTTAATCCCAGGGGAAAATGTTGGAGAGATGATGATGTCAAAGATGATGGCCAGTCTTCTTTTGACAGAAAACATGGATGGACGGTGAAAACACAAATGCAGAAAATCAGTTGCTTTTCAGAGGTGCAATAACAAAGAGTTAAAGTAATTTCTTTGACAAAGTATTTTGTCTATAATTATTATCAACAACTAAAAAATACATAATTTTAACAGGTCACTCAGTGAAAATGCTTATCACAATCAGCCTGTATCTATATTTAGTTTTGTATAGATAGTTGACTAGTGTTACTGGCTACTATTTATTTCAAGAGGACTATTTATCCTCAAACCAAATAAAATAAGCAGCATAATTTTAATCAGAATTTTAATTTCCTTCAAAAATGAGTGCTAAGAAGAACAGATAAATTATTCATCAAGCATTCAAGTCAAAGCACAACATTTGTTTGGTTGCCTGATTTACCTAATGAAAACAAAATTTGTGTCTTTCTATAACTATCTTGGACATAGTCCTTTAATATATAATAAGCAACTTGGAATTTAATCCCTTCTATTTAGAAATTTCCTGCCAAGTACCAGAAATTTTAAATGGATATGCTATATCTCAGAAGACAACTTTTAAAGAAAAAGAACGATTTCAGTATAAATGTAACAGGGGTTTTGAATACAGTGAAAGAGGGGATGCAACATGCACTAAATTTGGATGGAGTCCAATCCCTTCATGTAGAGGTAATGTTATATTTCTTTTCTATATCTTTTGATTTTTTATCAGTTATTTTAATTTATATACTCCTTCTAGTTAAGAAGTTTATTTTTTTCTTATAATGGAGTATTAATGTTTATAGGAATCAACTATTGTAATGGCAATATGTCTTGAAAATTTTTTGTGTGCAAGGACCACTTTGAGATCAATTGGTATGAATCTCTCACTCTGAAGATGGGCATAAACAGGAGCAGAAAGTTTCAAAGCTCATTAAGTAGTTGGTCTGTGGTCAAAGAACAAGTCTAGAGCGGAGCCAGAACTGCAAGAGATTTCCCAATTCCCAGGTATATACACTTCTCAAACCATTAGATTGGTCTTCTGAAGCCCAGAATTTAACTTTAAGAAGTAAATTACATTAATATATGAGGAAATCCTCAACTGACAATGGGATTAAGTGGAAGAAAATGGATACGTCATTAACCACAGGCCCAATACGAACCAACAGTGACGATGGTGCTGAGAGAAACCATGAGCTCTTTAGGCTTCATAGTGGAAGGAGGTTCACAAAGAGTTCATCTCAACTGTGTTCTTTGCTCACCGAAAATTATCTCTGGAATATTGTGTTCTACTTAACCTAATTAATCTTTTAAAGGGATGATGTAAAACTCTCAGGACCTAGACGAGAGAATGTAGATAGTTGAGGAGTTTAAGAAATCATATCATGAGAAGAATAGCGAGAAGGTATATCTATAGCAAGGTAAGAACTGTGTTGAAATATTTGCAGATGTTTATGAAAAGGGATGAGTCAGGCTTTGATGAGGGCTGCTGCAGTGAGTGAAACAAGTGGCAGTGTACCATACACGAAATCAGAGGTCATGGGACCTGCTAGAAGGGTGACTTTACAGATTCTGCCATAGTGGGGGGAAGAAGGGCTGGCCTCTCAAGAGTCCTCTGAACTTTAAATCATAGGATTCATAATTCCATGTATAAACCTTGTTTCAGTGTTCCTCTTTTACAAAAACTAGAGTTAGTTTGGAGTTGGTTCTCTTCTTTATAAAAAAATTTCAATTGAATTCACAAGCAGCTCCTTGGAAAATATATCCTCCTGCACAATTGAGGGACCTCCACTTTCAGACACTGTTAAGAAAATATTTTAGAAAGGGGTTAAAAAACACAAGACAGTGATAACCCAAGTTAGATCCATGTTGGGCTGGTGGTGTGTGGAGTCTGCCTGTTTGTCTTCATGGCATCCCTTATTCCTAAGGCAAGAAAGCGGGTGCACAAGTCCCCTGACATTAACCTCTGCAATATGTTTCACTTCCAGAAACTCTCTTAAATAGTTGATTAACTTCTCCAGCCAATATTCAAAATATAGCTTATAAAACACATTTATATCAGGCTGCTTGCTCTGTATTGAGGATAAACATTAGAATAAGCCATCATTCCAGGTTTCAATGAATTCAAAGACTTTGAGGATTCATTTTTACTTGGGCATAGGACTCAGGACAGCATTGCATCAAGGAAGTCATCTGATTATTACTTTTCTTGGTCACTTAGCTATCTACTTAAAACTCTTGCTTAACACATATTTGTTTTAACGATGGGAAATCTCTGTTGTTCTTATATATGTTACTATAATTCCTAGGCTTACTTCTCATGAAACTTGACTCATTTACACACACACACACACACACACACGCACACAACAAGATTCCATATTTCCTAAACATTTTCCTTCTAGAGCTTCATTTTCTCACTCACAAGTCATAACTTAAAAATTTAAGACTGTATGCTTTAGGGTCCTGCTTTCTTTAGGGAGAGAGATGCCAGAATTGGGATGCACTGGGATTGGGCACTTTCTTTCACAAGATAGTTTACTAAAGATCAATACAAATAAAGAGAAGTTCACCCCAAACTAGATAAGCATACACTGTCTCTTACAACATGCTTCATCCTATTGGAATGCGTTTTACATTAACTAGATGTAGCTCTTATTAAAAGCAACTCCAGTCTCTGTGCCTCAGCTAATACGTCACAAATACTCCTTATTTTCTTGGTGCAATGGAAGGATCTACCTGCTGATATATGATGAATTCCAAATCCATATATCTTATTTTCTCCAAATCTGTAAGAAACTTGGAACTAAATAATGAAAGAAAATTTGCATAAAGTAATCTAGGATAAAATACTTAGATTTTCTTCTGCCTGGTCTATGATTTGTATGTGTCAGGGGTTTTATTTGAGGGTGATTTGTCAAAATTCTGGTCTCTGAATCCCATAAGGGACAGTCTCTGACAATATGTTGTTTACAGAAATAATGAAAACTACCAGGACCTACTAACTAAAAGCCCCCTTTCATCCAAATCCATCCGTTTCCTGTACAGACCAAATTTTCTACTGATTCACAACATGAGTGTTAACCTTGAATTATCCTTATTTCAAATGCTTCTTGGTTGTTTCTAACACATTTGGGCTGTGTCAAAGACTTCTATTCTGAAGAGAGGCACCTACTCTGGCAATATTTTAATAGCATCATTTATTTTCATGGAGATTATGAGATTAGAGAATTAAAATTTATCAAAGGATTCATATCCACTGCTTGAAAATAATCACCAGAGTTCTTCTACTCTTCATTAATTTAACAAAATCCTCCCAATATTATTTGGTTGGTCTCTTAGTGAAACTCATGTTTTCTAGAGCTTTTGACTATATCTGTAGCTTTTGACTTTAAACATTGGTATTAAGTTCAGTTATAATATGAAGTAAAAACTAATATATGTAAACTGGACTGCAGTCGGTATATCAAAACATCATAAATACAGCAGAATGAAGTGAGAGAAAAAACAAAATAACGGAACACATTTAAAGTCATTTGAAGTTCATGTCAATTAACGTCAAGCACTGAAGACATATTTTACTTAATATTCGTGTTTAGGTGGTCACATATAATTTCTATTTTTTCTCATATAATCATTGCTAATACAAGTATATTATCACGTTAGCAACAAAAATATATTATAGCTTATTCTGGCAGAATGGGGTATAAACTTAAGACCAGTTAGGAGACTATTGCAATATCTCTAGGAGCTGAAAATATGCAGTGTAAGTGTACTATGGAGAGAAGGCAATATGTAAGCAATAATTACAACTATCTAGAATATGGTGTTTGATTGAATATCAGAGTAATGGGGAGGAGAACATGGGGTAAGTGTCTAGGCTTCTGTCATGGGATTCTTGTGTCACATATTAAAGTGTTGACCACAGGAAGAAAAGCTCCTATGGAGAGAAGGATGATGATTTGGTTTGACGTATAATAAGTTGAATATGCCTTTGAATTATATACATGGACCTGTCCAGTGTGAAGTTGCAGTTGGACAGACGGATTTGGATCGCACTGAAGAAGTGATTAGCCTAACAGTGGTAGCTTTTTATCATGGAAGTGTCTTGAATCACACAGAGAATGTGAAGAGGAAAACAACAGAACCAGGAAAATACCCCTGTAGAACGACTGTGAAGCCTAGATATCCATTCAGAAAATACCTGGAGGGTCTCCAGGGAAGATGTTTCTGAAATGGTGTTAAGAATCGGTATGAAGATCTAGAAGAGAATCATTCAGAAATAAAGAACAGGAAGTGCAGATGATAGGAATAAGCTTGATCTGTGTGAAGACAGGACAGAAGGCTATCGTGTTGGTAGGACAGAGAGTGGGCAGAAACGTGGTAGGAGATGAGACCTGGAAGCAGGCAGGTCCTGCAAATTAAGAAGAGCAGAGGAAGAGGAGCAACTAGCAGTAAAATAAGTAAGATAAAATAGTGCTGTTCAGACAGAGAAGGAGAACATAAGGACGTGAGGCATTGGAGAACTTCAAGGAGTCAGTGATCAACGGTGTCAAATATCACAGAAGGTTTATATCTATGCAGTTTAACAAATAATTAAGGAGCCCGTAATACACAGCAGCCACTGTGATATGTGGACTACAGAGAGTTTTGGATTTGGAAATTGGAGGACACTGGTGACGTTGTTAGAGCAATGCCGGCATAATTTAGATGTTATATGCCAGATAACAGTTGGTTGGAGAATAAATGGGAGGTGGAAAAGAGGTGACAGCAATTATAAGATGGTATTTTAAGGATCTGGGCTGTGAAGAGAAGGAGAAGTGCAGTGCATTAACCGAACTTGGGCCCAGGGTTGAGAGGAGTTTAAAATTGGAGAAGCTTGCATATCCACTTACGGGAAAGTGGTCGAAAATGAGAGTGAAGGAATAAATAACGGTTCATAATTCATGGAAAATGACAGACTTGAGAAGCTAGCTTGAATATGAGAAAAAAAGTGCAAGTCTTATCATCAAAGAATAAAGGAAAAGCTTAAGTCCAGAACAGATACAGCTAAAGTTGAAAGAATGCTGGAAAGAAATCCAGGGAACCCACAACTGGTAGTCTCAATTGTTTTCTGTGAATGCGAGGACTTCTTGTCTCTTAATGAAGGAGAAGTTGTGTTAGGTGGCTTGAGGAAAATGAGGAGACTATAAGTCACTTACTTTGGGAAATGGATTTGGAAATAAATTAGGGGCATATAAATGGATTTCAGGGAATTCTGAATGTCCATCACAGGTGTTTAGTCTAAAATACAGCATGGCACCAATACAAATCTAGTGCATTTCTACAATGGTTAAAAGACGTAGTATTTTGTTAGAAAAGGAATCTTGCAAATTGATCCATTGCTGAGATACAGCAAAGTTGATGGAAAGGAACAAGAAGGAGCTTTATGACTTAGGATAGACTAAGTCATGGGGTAGCACACTAGAGCCTACAGATCAAATCTAGTCTGTTCTTTTTTTCGAAACAATGTTTTATTGGAACACAACCATGCCCATTTGTCTATGTATTGCTTGTGGCTACTTTTGTGGTACAATGGCAGCTGTGGGGAAAAGATCATAAAAATGCACACGATGGCTTTTAAAACTTCCTCCGTGAAGGGAAACATATTACTTCCACATTCATTTCCCTGTCCTGTGAAAGTCATGTGGCCATGTCTACTTCAAAGGGGAAGGGATATGCAATCCTACCAACTTTCTGGAAGGAAGAGACTCAGAACATTTGTAAACAGTCCTTAAGAAAACTACAGAAGCCAAGGAAGTTGAAGGAAGTGGGAAGAGTAGTCAAAGTGATAGATCATGAATTCATTGCTGTGCATGGAATATCATGATGTATGTGATGGCTTTGGAGAAAGAGGATTCGAGTCCAGGAGGCACAAATACGTCAAATGAGAGATATAGTGGAGGGGAATGAGTGATGTGGGGGAAGGGTACAAGGCCGTGCTCATTTTAATGCCATTCTGTGCTGCGGTAAAAACAAAAAAAATAACATCTACGCTCTTTATTTTCATGTACTTGATTATTTTAATGGGCAGTGGTCTCTACATTATCTACATATCTTTTTTCTTTTCAGAGGTAACTTGTGATCCACCTTATATTCCAAATGGTGTCTACTCACCTCGAAGGACTAAACACAGAACTGAAGATGAAATCAGATACGAGTGTACAAATGGCTTTTATCCCGCAACTCGAGGAAATACAGCAAGATGCACCAGTTCAGGCTGGGTACCTTCTCCAAGATGTAGCTGTAAGTTGCATTCTTATCTTGATCTACTTCTTAATTCTGAAATCACTTTCTTTTAAACACAGAAACCTAGGAATATAGTAAATCCAAACATTTGCCTTCTTGTTTATGTAAAGCAGAGGCATTAAAAGCATTCTTTGCTTTTCATATAGCCAATTCTAAGTCAGATCAGAAACACATCATTTTACATAGAAAACTATTTTTTGCCTTTCAACATTAGATATGTGTGTGTGTGTTTATGAATATATATTTCTCTAACGTAATTCTAACATCTGAACTAAAACATTGGGTAAGACTGGTGTCTTTTAACACCTAGCCTGTTAGTTATTTATTTCCATGTAACAAATTTCCCCAAAACTTTTGGCTTAAAACAACAAAACTGTCTCACCTCAGAATTTTTATGGGTCAGCAAGTTGGGAGTGGCTTAGCTGGCTAGTTCTGAGTCAGACTCCTGTGTTGCAGTCCAGATGTTGGCCTGGGCTGCAGTCACTGGAGGGCTTGGCTGGGCTGGAGGACCTGCTTCCAAGACAGCCCACCCACGTGGCTTTTGGTAGAAGCCTCAGTTCCGTATCACATGGGTGTCTCCCATAGGCTGCTTGAATGGCAGCTAACTTTCACCAGAGCCAGTGATTGGAGAGAGAGAGAGAAGGAATCCTCCATCCCATTTATGACTTAGTCATATATTGTCACTTCAGCCATACCTACTCCTTAGAAGTGAGTCACTGAGTCCAGCACACTCAAGGGGAGAGGAATTAGGCTTCCCTCTTTGGAGGGAGCTGTGTTGAAGACATTGTGGAATTTTCTAAAACCATCACGGAACAAAATGCCACTCAATTCAACAGAGTGTTTTATTTCTGGGGATGTTTCCTCTGCGCTTTTCCAAGTGTTTTCTGTCTCTACAATTATAATCCTTTTCTTTATATATCACTGTTCATTGTAAAAGTGAACCCAGTTAGACTGGATATTCCATGAATGAAAAATGTGATGGATACAAATAACAGGTCAGTGGCCTCAATGTTAATTCTAGGCGTAAGTCCAAAATGAATTTTCAAAACATGAGACTCTGGGGCTGGCCCCGTGGCTGAGTGGGTAAGTTCGCGTGCTCTGCTGCAGGCGGCCCAGTGTTTCTTTGGTTCAAATCCTGGGTGCAGACATGGCACTGCTCATCAAACCATGCTGAGGCAGTGTCCCACATGCCACAACTAGAAGGACCCACAACACAACGAAGACTATACAACTATGTACCGGGGGGCTTTGGTGAGAAAAAGGAAAAAATAAAATCTTAAAAAAAAAAAATTAGATCCTTGAAGAGACAGCTATTATCAGTAAGAAACAGACATCAATATTTATCAGTTATAAGGAAAGTATTTATTTACTTAGTTATAATTGACACATAACATTATATTAGTTTCAGATTTAAAATGTAATGATTTGATGTTTGTATATATTGCTAAATGATCTCAACAAGAAGTCTAGTTAAAATCTTACCACACATATTTACACATTTTTCCCCTTATAATGACAACTTTTAAGATATACTCCCATAACAGCTTTCAAAAATACAGTGCAGATACAACTATAGTCACCATGCTGTGCATTACAGCTCCATGACTTAATTATTTTGTAACTTGAAGGTTTGTACCTCTTGACCACCTTCACCCATTTTGCCTACCTGCCCCCCAACTCCTGCCTCTAGCAACCACCAACTGGTTCTCTGTATCTATGAGTTCGCTTTTTTTTAGATTCCACATGTAAGTGAGACCATCCAGTACCTATCTTTCTCTGCCGGCTTCATTTCACTTAGCATTTTGCCCTCTGGTTCCATCCATGCTGTCACAAAAGGCAAGATTTCCTTGTTTTTTATGGCTGAATAATATTCCATTGTCTATATACAGCACATTTTCCTTATTAATTCATCCGTCGATGACACTTAGGTTGCTTCCCTGTCTTGGCTACTGTAAATAATGCTGCAATGAACATGGCATTACAGACTCTTGGAGATAGTGATTTCATTCCTTCAGGTAAATACCCAGAAGTTAAACTGCTGATCATATGGTAGTTCTATTTTAATGCTTCGAGGAGTCTCCATACCGTTTTCCATAGTGGCTACACCAGTTTACATTTCCACCAACAGTTCACAAGGGTTCCCTTTTCCCACACCCCCATCAACACTTGTTATCTCTTTTGTTTGATGATAGCTGTTCTCACAAGTGTGAGGTGATGTCTCATTGTGGTTTAGATTTTAATTTCTCTGATGATGAATGGTGTTGAGCATCTTTTCATGTACATGTTGGCCAGCTGTATGGCTTCTTTGAGAAAATCTTCAGATCCTCTGGCCAATTTTTAATTAGATTTATTTTACTATTGAATTGTATGAGTTCTTTATGTATTTTGGGTATTAATCCCTTATTAGATTTATAATTTGCAAATATTTTCTCCCATTTGGTAGGGAGAATCTCAGTTGTTGATGTTTTCCTTTGATGTACAGAAGATTTTTAGTCTAATATAGTCCCACTCATTTATTTTCAGTTTTTTCTTGCCTTTGCTTTGGATGTCAAATCAAAAAAATCGTCTCCACGACTGATGTAAAGGACCTTACCCTCTCTGTTTTCTTCTTGGAGTTTTATGGTTTCAGGTCGTAGTTCAAATCTTTAATCCATTTTGAGGTAGTTTTGTTTTGTTCAGATTCTTTCTTTTGCATATGGCTGTCCAGTTTTCCCAAAGTCACTTATTGAAGAGAGTGTCTTTTCCCTACTATATATTCTTGGCTCCTTTGTTATTAGTTAATTGACCCTGTATGCATGAGTTTATTTCTGGGCTGTCTATTCTTTTTCACTGATCTATGTGTCTGATTTTATGCCACTATTATACTGTTTTGAGGACTATATCTTTGAAATATAATTTGAAATTAGGAAGCAAGAATCCTCCAGCTTTGTTCTTCTTTCATAGGATTGCTTCAACTTTTTGGAGTCTTTTGTGGATCAGAACAAATTTTAGGATTGTTTGCTCTATTTCTGTGAAAAATGCCATTGTAATTTTGAAAGGGCTTGCTGTGAATCTGTAGAGGGCTTTAGGTAGTATGGAAATTTTAACATCATTAATTCTTCCAATCCATGAGCATGGACTATCTTTCTCTGTGTTTTCTTCAATTTCTTTCATCATTGTCTTATAGTTTTCAATATATAGGTCTTTCATCTCATTAGATAGAGTTATTCATAGGTATTTTAGTCTTTTGATGCAACTGGAAATTAGATTGTTTTCTTAATTTCTCTTTCTGATAATTCATTATTAATGTATAGAAATGCAACCTATTTCTATATATTGATTTCTTATCCTATGAATCTACCAAATTCGTTTAATAGTTCAAACATATTTTTGGTGGATTCTTTAGGTTTTTCTGCAATATAATACCACGTCATCTGAAAATAATGACAGTTTTGCTTCTTCCTCTCCAATCCGGATACTTTTGTTGCTTTTTCTCACCTAATTGCTGTAGCTAGAACTTCCAATACCAAGTTAAATAAAAATGTCAAGAGTGGCTATTCTTGTCTTCTTCTTGATCTTAGAGGAGGCAGCTTTTCACCTGTGTGATGTTGGCTCTGGGCTTAGCGTATATGGCCTTTATTATGTTGATGTTCATTCCCTCTATACCCACTGTGTTGAGAGTAAAGTAAATGCTGAATTTTGCCAAATCCTTTTTCTCTACCTATGAAGGTAATCATATAATTTTGATCCTTCATTTTGTTAATATAGTATATGGCAGAGATTGATTTGGGAATATTGAACTATCCTTGCATCCCTGGAATAAATCCCACTTGATCATGGTGTATGATCCTTCTAATGTATTGTTGAATTTGGTTTGCTAACATTTTGTTGAGGATTTGATGTCTATTTCATCAGGAATATTGGCCAGCAATTTTCTTTTCTTGTGGTGTCCTTGTTTGGTTTTGGAATCAGTGGGAGACCATGAGTTTGGAAGTGTTCCCTCCTCTTCCACTTTTTTGAAGAGCTGGCATTAATTCTTCCTTAACGTTTGGTAGAATTCACCAGTGAAGTCCTGTTGTCCTGGACTCTTGTTTTGGGGAAGTTTTTGATTACTAATTCAATCTCCTTATTATTGATCAATCTGTTCATATTTTTGTTTCTTCATGATTCAGTCTTGGTTGGTTGTGTGTTTCTAGAAATTTATCTGCTTCTTTTACGTTGTCAAGTTTGGTGGTATAATTGTTCATTGTTGTCTCTTATGATCCTGCGTATTTCTGAGGTATTAGTGAGGATATCTCCTCTTTCATTTCTGATTTTATTTATTTGAGTCCTCTTTCTTTTTATTTAAGTATTTATTCTTTTGCACGCAATGATTTGTCCTGAGCTACCATCTGTTGACAATCTTTTTCCTTTTTTCTTCACTTTTTACTCCTCCAAATCCTAGTATATTTGTATGTAGTGAAGTTCCTTTGGTTCTTCTATGTGGGCTGTCACTACAGTGTGGCTACTGACACCTGAGTGGTGGCATAGTTCCACACCTGGAAACTGAACCTGGGCTGCTGAAGCAGAGCATGTTGAACTTTCATTGCTAGGCCATCAGGCCTGCTCGAGGCCTTTATCTTTTTATTTTGGTGAGTCCATTAACAGTTTGTCAATTTTGTTCATCTTTGCAAAATTCCAGCTCTTAGTTTTCTTGATCTCTTCTATTGCCTTTTTGTCTCTATTTCATTTATTTCCACTCATATTTTTGTTATCTCCCTCCTTCTGCGAACTTTGGGCTTTGTGTGTTCTTCTTTTTATAGTTCCTACAGATACAAAGTTAGTTTGTTTATTTCATATTTTTTGTTGTCAATGTAGGCATTTATGGCTCAGATTTCCCTCATAGAACTGCTCTGGCTGCATCCCATAACTTTGGTGTGTTGTGTTTCTATTTTCTTTTGTCTGAAGTTATTTTTTGATTTCTCTTTTGAGTTTTTCTTTGACCCATTGGTTATTTGGTAGCATGTTGTTTAATGTCC